GTTGACTATAGGTAGAGAGGCTGATTTCTGGATTCTCAATTCTATTCCATTAATATGTGTGTCTGTCATTGTACCAGTACCATGCTGTCTCGACCACCAGGGCTATGTAGTAGGATTTGAAATCAGAGATGCCTCCTTGTTTCTCTTTTTAAGGAGTGCTTTGCTTATTCGGGGCCTCTTTCCATTCCAAATGAAACCTGGAGATTTCCTTTTCATCTCGTTGAAGAATGGAATTGGTATTTGTATTGGGATTGCATTGAATCTGTAAATTGCCTTTGGTAGTATTGCACAATATTTCACATTATTGAGTCTTCCTATCTATGAGCAAGAAATATTCTTCCATTTCTCCAGGTCTCTTTTTGTTTCCTGTAGTAATGTTTTGTAATTTTCTTTTACTTGATCCTTTGTGCTTCTGGCTAGATTTACTCCCAAGTATTTAATCTTGTGATTAACTATTGTGAAGGGTATTGTTTTTCTCCAGCTCTGCATTCTCTTTGTCACTGTAGAGAAATCCAACTGATTTTTGTATGTTGATCTTGTATCCTGCCACTTTGCCATTTTGCTGCATTTGTCTTTCTCTTGTTGCTGGTTACTTTAGTCCGTCCACCTTCCTCTGCTGTTTCTATATGAAGGAATGATTTCCCTTAGTCTCTCTTGTAGAGTTGATCTTATTTCCATGAATTCCATGTATTTTTGCTTTTCTGCAAATGACTATATATTTTCTTTATATTTGATGGACAGCTTTGCAGAGTACAGGATCCAGGGTTGGCAATTGTTTTCTTTCAGCCTTCTGTAAATGCTATCCCATTTAATTCTTTCTCAGATAATTTCTGTTGAGAAGTTAGAGTTTAATCTAATTGGTTCTTCTTTGTAGGGGACTGATTCTTTGTTGGGTTCTTTTTTTAAAATTCTTTTTCTACTGCTGCTTTTAGTATTCTATCCTCGTCTTTGATTTTTAAGAATTTTATTATGTCTCTATGTTTCTTGATGTTTGTCTAGTCTGTTTGAAGTTCACTCTCATCTTCTTGAATGTGGTTTTGGTTGGTTTGGTTTTTTGTGTGTTTTTTGGGTTTTTTTGTTGTTGTTGTTATAGTAACTATAAAGTTTTCCTCTATTATCTCTTCCACAGTTTTATCAGTGCTTTTCTTTCCCCTCCTGCCTCCCTGGTTAGGAATTCCAATCATGCGTATGTTTTTTGTTTGATGTCATCCCACATAATTCTGATGTTTTCTTAATTTTCCTTCTGTCTTATCTTTGGTTTTTATTCTTGTACATTATCGTTGAGGCTCTTGTCTTCTAACTCACTGATTGTCAGTTCATTTCTTCTTTTCTGTGCCTTCCGTATATTGAAAATTTCTGCATTATCTGTCTTGTCTTGATATTCAAGATTGAACTTTCATGCTTTTCTGTTGCTTAATGTACTGTTATGGTTGTATCCTCTCTGTATGGTCACGTCTTTTAAAATTTTTGTACCTGTTTATTTATGGTTTCAAGTCTTTGTTCCACCATTTGCAGCTCTTAGTACCAGTTCTTGGAACTCCACCTCAGTATATTTCTTCTACCTTCCTGTCATTGGGATATACACTGGGTCTGTGATTTGGTCTGCTTTTTTAGGAAAAGGCTTGTTTGGGGTGTTTTTATTTGTTTGTTTTCATAATGTTTGACCTTGCCTCCTGCTTCCTTGATATTAGATGAAGTTCCTCTTGTTATGGCACTTTCTGTTGTGTCTGTGTAGGTAGTTCTTTACAAAGTTCACATTCATTGTATTTCACACTATCCTTCCTTCACATTGTGTTTCATACAATCATTCCCATTCATTATCTTTTATGAATTAATCAACATTGAAATATGCCCATCCTTGCCGTTTTCGGTTTCAGTTCCTTATCTTTACAATATTATTGGTAGAGTTGCAGTTCCTAAATGTTGCCTCTTGATTCTGTTTGCCAGTGGCTATCTTCTTTGCCGGTCACCTTTGGATGGTTCTGTTCACCATTTCCTGTGCACACTTTTCTTCTGGCTGTCCTTGGAGGCAGAGGGAGCCGGAGTCTCTTTATCCAGCTATGATATGTCACTCCTGTCCTGTAGTTTGATGGGAGGGGGAAGTTTCCCCAGTGAGTAAGCAAAATTGGCCCCTTTAACCTGTGTCCTCACCTAAGGCTGGATGGGAGGGGCTATTTCCCCAAACAGACAAACCATCTATAGAGCTGGGAACATCCCCAGAATGCTCACCAGGACACTTTTCTCACTAAGTCTCTGTTGGTCAGTTTTCAGTGCTCTCTGTGTACCTTTGCCTTGCTGAAGCTGGATGAGTGAAATCATTTCTGCCTTAGGAAATATAACCTCTGACAAGCTTACAAAATGCCAAGAATGCTTCCCAGGATACTTTCTTCCCCAAATCTTATGGCTTAGATGTACCTGCATCCTCTCTTGTGGCTGGATGAGGGAGGAGTTGTTTCCCCTTAAACAGACAAAGCCCCTGGAAGACTGGGGAGGCCCCAGGAATGCTGCCCAGGCCCATTTCTTCCCAGTGTTTTGGTGGGTGGGTGGTGTTCCCTTCCAGTGTACTTTCCTCACTGATGGCTGGTCTGGGCTGGCTCACATTGCACTCCCCTCTCTGCTGGCTACAGCTGATGTACTTTCTTTTACCAACAGGAAAGTGCCCCAGTATAAACAAACTACTTAAAATTTTCTTTAGTCAAGAGGTAAGGAGAGAGGAATTCATGGTTGAGTGTGCTCACAACCTGTGAACCTCATAGTTTTTATTGAGAAGTTTTTCCATTACATAAGCAGTAACATATATTAACTGGATTCCAAGATATTTTTTACTGTTTCTTCTCTCATTGCTGACCTTCCCTGTTTCCAAACTACATCTTTAAGAGTAGGCTGTCCCAGAGCAAGGGACTTGTTTTGTCTTTGACCCAGGCAGCTCCTGCTTTGGTCAACTTAACCCCTACATGGGCAGCACAGACTCCCAGGTGAACAGCAGGGTCTTCCCTCTCTGCTGGCTAGTTCTCAGTAGTGAATGGACAGGTAGGGGCAGGGAGGACTCATAGGGTTACTGGAAAGTTAAGTGGACTCACAGTGGCCTATGAGGCACTTTCCTCCCTGCTGGCTCATCAGGACAGCCTAAGACCCAGAAAACACTACCCTATATGAGGGCTGGGGCCAGCTCTGATACTAGATGGTAGCCCCAGAGCTCTGCCCTTGCTGACATGTGCTTCTTTCTACTGTTTGTTGACTCTTAGCTGGGAATAAAACACAGGGAGCAGTAGTACTCTTCTTCTCTCCTTTCTGCATTTTTATTTCATCAGAAATTTCACTGAAACTTCAAAGAAAATAAACTTTCTTAATACAATATGGAGTTACTGACCTGAATCTTGAAGCTTAATTTCTTATTAAGCTTCTTTTCTTTTTAATACTGTTTTGGTGGGTGCATCCGACAGAAATAATTTTATGATGATCTAGCTTTGAACACCAGTTGCCTCAAGACCATGTTTTCAGGACTGTCATGGCTTATGACAATAGCGTATATGTTCAAATCTGTTTATGGTTGAAGTTTATAAACTTAAGGGTTAATATCTTAAAAATCACAGGAGAACATAAAAATGATTATTAGTTATTTTATGTACTTGTGATTGCTTTTTTAAAATAAATTTTTATTTTGTATTGGTTTGCTTACAAAGTTTGTATACATTATTTTTCACACCATATTTACCCACACCTCCCTCTACCCATCAAATTGTGCAACCCTATGATTACCCCCTGCTAATCCTCACCCCTCTGCTCCTACTCTCCCCGCCTTAGTAATCATACCTATTTTACTAGTTATCTTTCTGTTTCTACAATAATGGTTTTATGTGGTATTTGTCCTTATGGAAATGAGTTCACTTAGCATAATGCTCTCCAGTCCCTCCCAAGTTATGTAGTATTTTCCAAAATCATTGCCCCTGCATACTGTGGAGTATTCCATCATGTGAATGTATCACAATTTCTCAATCCACTAGATTGTGGTTGGACATTTAGACTGTTTCCATGACTTTGTGATGGTGAGTAACACTGCTATGAACATTGGTGTACAAGTCTCCATTTATGTCTCATTTCTAATTTCTTGGGGTATATTCCAAGCACTGGAATAGCTGGATCATATGGAATTTCTATGTTTAGCTTTTTGAGAAAACACCAAACTGCCTTCCAGAGTGCTTGTAGCATTGTACAATCCCACCAACAATGTATAAGATTTCCTCTATAACTATATATCCTTTCCAACAATTATTAACTTGCTGTCCTGTTAAACTTTGTCACTGCTGCTGGGGTGAGATGGTATCTATCTCATTGTGGTTTTGATTTGCATCTCTTATTGCCACTGATTTTGAGCATTTCTTCATGTGTCTATTGCCCACCCAAATACCTTCTCCGTGAAAGGTCTTTCCATGTCTTTTGTACATTTTATAATTGGGTTATCAGTCTTTTTTTTTTATGGAGGCTCAGTGTTGTTATTGTTGATTGCCTTTGAGTCAAGCACAACTCATAGTGACCCTATGAACAAAAGGCCTGAAGCCCCTCTACAACTATCGACATTTTTAAAGTCCATAGTGGTTCCGGAGACATGTTATTTAGGAAGTGGATGCCACTTTTGCTTCCAAACCTGTTGTAGTATGTTATTGTTGTTATGTGCCATTGAGTCTCCTGCAGGATCCTATGGAGAGAACCCTATGGCCCTGTAGGATTCTGTAAACTTTTATTATGAGACCCTTGTCTGAGATGGTATTGTCAAATATTTTTTCCCAGTAAATAGATTTTCTTTTCATTCTCTTGGAAAATGTTTTGACACACACAGTGATTTAATCTTTAGAAGGTCCCATTCATCAATTTTATCCTCTCCTGGTTGTGTATTTCTGGCTGTACTTGTTAGCCTTTTTATAACATGAGCTAGGCCTTCTAAACTTAGTCCTACTTTGTTTCTTATGAATAGTCTTGTAATTTATTTCTTTTCAGGGGACAAAAGAATTTACCTTCTACTCAAGAAGATATGTTGAATTCAATTAATAATGACTTCAGGCAGTGGATAAAGGTAAGTTTTTCTAATCAGCAGCTTGTTAATTGATAACTGGGATAGACTGACACATTATCAGTCAGTGATTGAATAATTTGTCACTCTTCACTTAAAACTGAGTCATATCTTGTCCTTTTAAAATGTTATTTAAGTTTTATGCAAAAGAAAAAAAAAAGAGACTTTTAAAAATATGCTTAAGTGTTTTCATTTCTAGGGTCAAATAAAGTTAGTCTTTCAAGAAAATTAGGAAACGATTCTTGGGTGACAGTGAGTTACTTGGATTCTCTGATTCTATGTCTAATTGTCAGACTCAGGTAAACATTTGTGCTTTTTCTGTGCCTAGCTTTTGTTCCAGAGTTAAAAAGTAATATCTCTTTAAAAGGGACTTAATTTTATTTTTAAGGCTTTAATTTTTTTTCTAAAGTGTTTAACTTTCAGAATAGGTTTTGATTATCAAATTACTGTCACAATATAGTAGTAGTCTGGCAGAGGAAAATATAGAAAACATTAAAATATTTCCAATCTTAATATTAAAGTCATAGCCTGATACAAATCTCATCCTGATCCCAAATGTGGAGGAGATATGCTGAGTAAAAAAGTCAGTCTCAAAATGACAAATAATAGATAAGATGGTTACTAAAGAAAGACTTATATATAGAAAGATTCATAGTTGATACCAGGAGTGAAAAGGAAGAGTGGGGAGTAAAAGTCAGTAAATAAATTTAAAGACAGAAAAGAAAGATGAACAGATATAGACAAAGGATGATACTTCTATGTTTATATTAGTAAATTAAAACTCAGAGCTGTCAAGTCAAAACTTCCTCATAGCTTACCGTCCAGCATGTTTTCAAATCTTACAGTGGGTTTTAGATTGCACAGGAATACATCCACTATCTTTCTTCTGAGGAGCCACTGGTGGTTTTGAACTGCTAAAGAGTCTTGTCCCCTCTGGGTGGGCAGTGAAACTCTGCTTGGACTATACCACCAAAGCTTCCCTTTATAATGTTATATGCTCTAAATAGATAGATCCATTTTTTTAATAGAAAAGTGACAAAAACTTTTTATTATTCTGCCAGATTTAATAAATCCATAAAATGCTCCTAGAGACCCTTACTTTTTTTAAACTAAGGATCCATGTATATATTTTGACAGAGCTGAAACAAAATAATATGCACATAGATATTTTGGCAGAGCTGAAAGGTGACAAAATTGTGCACTTCTTGGCCATAACAATCATCTTAAGGGAGTGAGTTGTTTGTGTTAGGACATTTGGATCATAGTCAAGAGAGCATCAACATCAATTGGCATAATATAGTCTACACAGATAAAGTTATATCCTAATTTGGTATAGACTAGGGTCTCTGTGCATCACAGGCGACTTGACAGCACATAATAACAACACAAC